CGCGGCAGTGCGTGCCTGTTATTCTCACGATGACAGGCTGCGTGCCTGAACGGGAAGCAAGACAGGATCTCAAAGGGAGCCAGCAAAATTCAGGGCTGGGGGTGTGGTTCTGCAGTAAAAGCACCTGCCCCATGAGTGTGAGATCCTCAGCTCAAGTCCCAGAAAACACACACACACACTCCCTAAATGTCACTATCACTTTCACCAAGATGTAGCCCCGGTATCTCCCAGGGCAGAAAGGGGGGCGGTCATCTGTGTCAAGCATTCCGCGCAGACCCCAGGCAGGGGCCTCCAAGGGGTCAGCCCTCCCTTCCCAGCTGCAACCCCCAAAGCAGAGAAACCCATTTTCTATATTTCATCTCCGAGCCCATCATGCTGAGCTAAGTGGCTGGGAATAAACTCCCATCATCACGCCTGTGCTGAGCGATGTTTGTTAGTCTAGATGGTGACAGAAATCTATATCACACTGATGCACTATTAATACTGCACCAGGCACGCAGAATCTCTGCTCCCTTCTGCAGCTGGGAAACTGGCCTCGGCAGCTCTTTTTGTTTTTGTTTTTGTTTTCCAGAAAAGGCAAGCTCTGTGACTGATTGGCCTGGAGGAGAAGGAGGCACTAGCTCGGTCCCAACTCAAGAGACAGTCCTCGGATGGAGCCTCTCCAGCTCTGACGAGAGGCTCTTGCCTTGTGAGCTGGTATGTTGGGTGTGGGGAGAAAAGGAAAGAAACTGAGGCTGAGCCCTCTGAATGGCTGTGTGGTAGCCAATGGGGTGTAAGGGAAGATGGGCCTGCTCTAGACCCGGGGCCTAGCACTTAGTAGAGCTTCAGTGCACGTCTGCGGACTGAGCATAGGAAGGAAGAAAAGGAACCAACAGAGGATGGATTTTTTGTGGTTGTAAATCTCAAGAGAGTGAGGCCTAAGAAGGCCTGGGGTCGGAGTTACCAGCTCACCTGGTTGGGTCTGTAACAGTCGTAAGAACAGGGGAGAGAAGGGTAGGGGTTTCCAACCAGGAGACAGAATCACACGGAGGCCAACTTGAAAGAGACGGGGCAGGGGGGGCGGGGGGGGAATGAGGGCCATCAGCAAGACCTCAGGGAAAGCAAAGAGGGAAAGAGATCCAGGAGTGTGGAGAGGGCCGGGCTGGAGACCGGCCTCCTGGGAAACCTCTGGAAAGCCCAAGGTGATCAACCTCCACAGGGAAAAGGGTGGTTAGGGCTGGTGATCAAGGCACGCCCGTTGCTTTGGGCCTCTCTGGTGGAGGTGCCAGGCAGCTGATGGAAGAAGCCCAGGACCTCGTGGCACGCCCCCCCCCCCCCCACGGCTCCCTGCTTCCCAGGCACCCATCGGGGCAAGTCCCTGGGCATCTCATTCTGTGGGGCTCAGCCCAAGGGAAACGCCCCTCGGCTGTGTGACCGGAGAAGCCTCTCCTGGTGCCTCAGACAATCCAGGGGCTTTACATTAACAATCAGAAGTGCCTCAATTAGGAAGCTTAGGCGGGAGGGGGGGGCGGGTGCAAGGCCGAGTCGGCACACCTTGATTCCTCCCCCTTTGAGGGTATTCCGGAAGGCGTGATACATTGCCGCCAGCGGGGAAGGAGTAGAAAATAAAGATAGCGTCGGGCGCGTCTGGTGGGCAACACCGGAGGGGGCTCGGGCATCTGATCAGGTGCGGGCACCAGGCCATCGTGGAGTGCCCCGGCTGCCTGATGTGCGCGTGGAGAGCGACGCGACACACCAGATTAGAGACAGATAGGACGCGGGGAGCAGAGGGGCGTCCGGCCCCCGAAAGCACTCCAGTCAGAAAAGATCTCAGCGCCGGGCGAACCCCATCCTCTCCCCCGCTCCCCCATTGCTGCCACCAGCCCCCCCCAACAGGGGTGGGGTCCCCCCAGCTTCTGTCGGCAGCACCAGAGCCGTCCCGTGCACGTGGCAAGACTCCCGGGGCACACGGGGATGTTTCCGAAGCCTTTGCCCCGCTGCCTCTCAGCCGGTGAGCCCCCTCCTCCGAGGATGGCATGGCGGGGAGGGGGGAGGGGGGGAGGGGGAGGGGGGAGGGCTGCTGAGTCACCCACAGCCGACTGGTGCCCTGCCCGTGGCTCTGCCACAGTGATGTAAGCCCCGCGTGCTTTCTGTGAGAGCCATCCGCCATGTTGCTGGTGGCAACGAGGCACCCCTTGGGCCTGGAGAGGCGACCCCTTCCTGACACCGGAGCTCTGAGCAGCTAGACTCACCACGTCCCTCTGATGAGCCCCTGCTGGCTCCCTTCCCGTCCTCCACCGCGGCGGTCTGTCCTCTCCGTCCACCCCTCCTTGCTGGCGCGGGCGCCGGCCCGACTCCCTAGCGAGAGCACACTGCGTCCCATGCTCAGAGAGCCATGGAAGGAAAGCCCAGCCCACGTCTGGTTCTCCCGGTGCGGGAGCTCCGTTGGCTGTGTGCTGCACGCAGGCTGACGCTGAGACGCTCACCGGCTCGCCCCACCGGCCACCACTGCGTACTTGTGAATTTCCTCCCCACTGAAGTCCACGTGCAATCCCCAAACTGATCCCTCAGTGCCTGCACGGCCATGCAGGGCCTGTGCAAAGTGACAAGCACCTTGAATGGCCCAGGTGGCTGCCACCAGCTCAGACTGCACAAGAGGTGCCTCGCCTGCTCTTCCCAGGTACTCTGAGGATCGTGGTTCAAAGCCAGCCTAGGCAGGAAAGTCCGTGAGACTCTTATCCCCAATGATCCACCAGAAAAACAGAACTCAGTGTGGTAGAGCGCTAGCCTTGAGCAAAACAAACAGCTCAGGGACAGCAGCCCAGTTCAAGTCCATGACTGGACAAAAAAAAAAAAAGAAAAGAAAGAATCCAGGTGCTGCTGGCTCACATCTATAATCCTAGCTACTCCAGAAGCTGAGATTTGAGGGTCATGGTTCAAAACCCAGCCCTGGCAGACAAATCTGAGAGACTCTTATCTTCCATTAACCAGCAAAAAATGCTGGAAGTACAGCTGTGGCTCAAGTGATAGAGCACCAGCTTTGAGCAAAAAAAAGCAAAGGGACCGTGCCTAGGCCCTTGCATTCAAATTCCAGTACCAACACACACACACACACACACACACACACCAAAAAAGTGTACCTTCAGTGTTTATCATCCTTCTCAGGATGACATTTTCCAGTTGGGGGCTTTTTCAAGGGGTGGTGGAGGTGATTTTGTGTTTCAAGATGGCGGCCATGCCCAGCTCTAAACCACCACCTGGGGAGGATGGTGAGGGAGGATCGAGCTGAGGGAGGATCGCGCCACGGGAGGGACTTAGATCAGCCAGAGCTACGGCGCCATCGGCCACCCGTCCCGGAGACGGTCCCACGGTCCCACGTCCCGGAGACAGCGGTACGGAGGAGCGCGTACAGCACGCGGAGGGACAGGCTGCTTCGCCGATGGCACACTGTGAGAGGGGGACTTGCGGGACCCTAAGGCTGCATTTTCCCCTCGGAGCCGGGATTCGGGGTTGTCTCGTTCGTAGCGTAGATGTGAACTAGCTTGGATAACAAGAACCGTGCCCGTAGTCAACGCAGCGGGGGCTGCCTCTGCCCCAGTCCAGTGGCACCCCACATCCCTCCCTCCACAGCGGCCCAGACAGGCTTTCCTTCTGCCCACGCCCAGCCAGTCCTACAAGGAGCCTGACCTGAATCGAGATGGTTTAGCCAGAGCACAAGCCCGGAAGTGTTGATCGATTTCTGCTGCGCATCTGAAACACGAATACCTTTCTTCCTCGCCCAGCCCTTGTCCAGAGCCCAGGTATTCTTCCTCTCGTCAATACCGAGGCCGCTTTTGGAGGAGACTCAAGGTTGAGAGGTAGATAGTCCTGAGTCTAGCCCGGTCCCCCCACCCCCACCCCGTACCCTCCCTCCCCGGGGGGAATGGCCACCCTCACGCTGGCCTTGGAGTTACAGAAATAGAAGCAGAGTCTGAGAGGGCAGAGCCCAAAGGCCCCCCGGACTGCAGGATGATCCAGCAGGAACAGCAACTATTCTGTGAGCTATGGAAGCGCCCGGCCCAAGTACAGAGAGCCCAGCCCAGAGCGGGGAGCAAGAACAGAATGAAACCCTATGCTAGGCCTATCCAGGACAGAAAGAGATGTGAAGAGAAGCCACGGGCAGGCAGCCTGGGGGACGGAGAGGGGAAGGGGGCACTCACAGCCCCCCAAAAGCTCCGTGCCCCTGGCTGCAGGGTAAGGCTATGACCCAGCTCCTTGCTTGGGTCCCTACCAGCTCTCGGTCAGTCCCTTGCGTCCCAGCTCTCCGGGGCGGGGAGGGGGAAGGCCTCCCTTGAAAACAGGGGGAAAGAAAAGAGGTCACACCTAGGGACACAGCAAGGGGGAAATGGATGGAGGATGGAGGGACAAGCCACCGACTTCCAGCAGCTCAGAAGGGGATGGTGTGGGGGGCTCAGCAGAAATGCGAGAAGAAAGGGCTATGAGCGCAGGAGGTGGGAGATGAGGAGGCGTCGCAGGGCCGCCAAGGTTCCCGGCAGTCGGACGGTGTTCCTACTCTCCAGGGGTCCGGGAGGGGCAGCTACGGGGATGTTCCCATCCGAGGTACGGACTGCCCTGCCCTTCCTCCACTTCCCCTCCCACAGAGACCTGGACGGACACTCTGGTGACCTCGGGGCTGTGGTCTCGACAGACTCAGGCTGTATCGGTCCTAACTCCTAGGCCAGGTCTACCGAGAGGACCGGCCTGTCTAGGTGTCCTGACTCACACTCACGGGGACAGCGTTCCCCCTGTCCAGAGCCCCCGGGCAGCCCTGGTGGAACCAGAGAGGGAAGTAGGCTCCGATCGGTGTCCCTCCCTTCCCCAGGGACCCTGACCACTGCCATCCCCCTGCCTCAGGTGGCCTCCACATTCTGAGATAAAGGGAGGGGGAAGTTGGCAGTAGGTTCCAGAACCCCGGCTACACGGCCCGTGGCCGTGCCACCCGGCCTCCCCGGAAGGGGTGGGACCCGGTATCCGGTACTCACAGGTGTCCGGCTTGTGGCAGTTGTGGCCCTGGCGGAAGTACTGGGGGTTCTCGATGACGGGCAGGCGGGTCATGCCGATGACCACCGTGTCGGGCCCCGCGTCCAGGGAGGAGGGGGTGGTGATGCCGTGGTTGATGTGGTGCAGAGGGCTGGCTGAGTCCTCCTCGCCGCTGATGACGGCCACGGGACCTGCACACACCAGGAGAGACACGGGACCCCGGTGAGGTCACCTCCGGTCCTTCCCTGCCCTGCCCGCAGCTCCCGTCTCCTCCCACCACGATTTCTGCGAGAGCCGAGTCCCGCTAGGAGAGAACAGCCCCCCTCCCCACCGCCCTGTCCCACCTGCTCTGAATGCCGAGTTCAGAGCACGTCACCCATCCCTTCACCACAGAACCCACTGGAAGACAGAGCTGAATCGCTGTGATGTGCATCTCCATTTCCTCCTCTTTGGGCAGAGCTGGGGATTGAACTCAAGGCTTTGCACTTGCTAGGCAGGTACTCTACCACGGAGCCACCGCACCCAGCTACTCGTTGGCTGAGAGCAAACGTTTACACCCCAGTTGTGCCTCAGTTTCCCCTCTCGTGTCCACCCATGTAGCCAGGATTGCAAACCCAAGCCACTGCACTAGTCCAAAATAACGAGTTTTAAAAAATAATAAGCTTGTTTGCTTAAGTAGCAGTGCAGGGTTTGTTGTTTTTCTTTTTAAACAAACGACCCGACTAATTTGTGCTCTATCTCGTTTCCTTGGGAACTTTACTACTGACGTTGGGCTCTTCCTGCAGGGCTTCAGATTCAGTCGGAGCCCGAGGGTAGCACCCAGGCATCAGGACAGGAGACGCTTTCTACCTGATCCCCAAGAACAGCCCAGATAGCGTCACCGGTGAGAGGCTTAGAGAGACCCGGAGCCTCTCAGCATGGCTCAGGTTCCAGGAGGGGGTGGTGTGGCCTCCACTGGACTCTGCCACAACCCCTTCCTCACCCAACCAGAACCAGGTCTCCCAAAGGACAGTCACTATCAGCCTGATGTTAGGCGGCCTGCTGACCCTCCCCTTCCGCCTCCCCATCCCCTGCCCCCCCAAGACCCTTAGAGACACCATTTACATCTCTACCCACCCCAGCTCCACCACCATCTACCCCCAAAGAAACCCAGGGATGACCTCCAAGCACAACCTGACCCAAATCACAAGCGTGGCCTGTCCTGGCAGGACAATGACCATGCCTGATGCCACGATCCCCCCCAGAGACAAAATACCACTCCTGTGGAGAGAACCAGCCGGGGCCGTGTGTGGCTCTGTACGAGCAGCAGTGTTGTCGAAGACGGTGACGGTGATCGCTTCGCCAGGCACCGGGTCCCCAGACAGAGAGCCCGCTGTGCTGCGGCCTGCAGCTCCAACGGGATTTCTACTGTGGAAATCCATTACAGCCTGCTGGAGTTTATGGGGAGCATATTTCGCACTGAACAGCGAGGCGGAGCACCAATGAGGCAGAACTAAGTGGAAAGACGCACAGGCGACGCCGAAGGACGCTGAATTCCACTCCGTCAGCACGGACAGGCTTATTCCAATCCATGACAAATGGCTGGCTGTTTATAGACTGTGTGCAAAAGTAGCAGTAAGTGGCTGGCCAAATGCTCGCCATAATCACCTGTTTTCCATCCCGGAAAACACCTCATAAACTTCCTGAAGAACTTCACAGTGACCTCCCGCAAAACAAGGAAAACTAAGCACTGGTCTCCACCCTCGGGCCCTCCCCAGGTCTGAGCCGGGAGCCGGTGGCTCACGTCTGTCATCCTTGCTATTCCGGAGGCTGAGATCCGAGGATCTCAGTTGGAAGCCAGCCTGGGCAGGAAAGTCCACGAGACTCTGATTCTCCGATTAGTCAGTAAAAAGATGAAAGTACAGCTGTGGCTCAAGTGGTAGGGGGCCAGCCTTGAGCAAAAAAAAAAAAAGCTAAGGGATCCTGTGTTCCAGCTCTAGTACTGGCAGGCACAAGAAAAAGAAAGACGTTATTTGTGTACAAAAAAGGGGAAGTGAGATATTACAAATACACGTGAAAGAAGGTACATCAGAGGACGGGGGAACGGCAAAGGTGGACGGCACAGGCCAAAGGCGTGGCCCACAGGGCCCTGCGTGCAGGGGGAGGCCCAGGAAGAGCTCCGCGGGGAGCACTCGGTGCTTAAAGCCCTAGAGCACCCAGGAAGACTGGAGCGGGGCTTGTGGCTGGCACAAGTCTGGACGCAAGGACTTGGTTGTCGCTGACAATGCATTCAATGTTTAGTTAGTCAGTTTAGCAGTACTAGGGTGAGAACTGTGGGCCTTGAGCTTGCTAAGCAGGTGCTCTACCGCATGAGCCATGCTTCCTCCAGCACGTTTTTAACACTGGCTATTTGGAATAGGGTCTCGCCTTTGGACCCAGCACATACCTGAACCGTGATCATAGCTGGGGTGCTAGGCACGTGCCATCATGCCCAAGGTGGCCAGATCCCCAGGGCGGGTGAGCAAAAGCAGCCGGGGCTGCTGTCTGCTGACCTCGCACCTGCTCACGAGCGAGCGGTCCTCACACGTCCACTCCTGATCACATGGTGACAACACAGCTGCGCCGTGCCAGGATGCACACCGAGAGGCAGAAGGCCCTCCTCGGAGACCCCCTGGGGGTCCAAGCTTCCCAGAGGGGCTCTCGGGGACCCACGTCCACCCGGCTCTCACCACACACGCCTCTCCCCCAAGGCCTGTTCAGACCTGTGGCGGGGTCCTGCTGCCACCCAGAGCTTCTAGACGGCTAGGAGCTCATCCAAGCCCCACCTGAGAGCCTCTCACCCGGCGGGGTGGGAAGGAAGGTCTCTGGGGAGCCTTTCCCCCCACCCCTCCTTTCCCTTTCCTTGGGAAAATGAAATAAAACAAGGGAATGGCTTGGTGATTTGCAGGTGGTTGATTCACAAGGTGGGATCTGGTTTGGTGACAACCACAGAGAGAGACCTCCATCAGCCCAAGCAGGATGGGTCCCAGACACGAGGGGGGGGGGCAGGGGGGGACGGGATACCAAGCCTGCGACTGCCGGAAGGAATCGGGAGTTGCCAGACTCTTCTGCGGAAATCTCTGGCGATACCCAGACACTTTGTCCGCCCCTGAGCTCACAGTGGGAAAGAGGAGGGTCCAGGGAAGCTGGCCCCAAGGAGATTCAGTCCCTGCCCAATGCTACAGAATCTGCCTGGACAGCATGTACACATGGCCCTTCCCTTAACACCAGAGACCAATTCAGAGCCCCCCCAGGCTTCTAAGGAAAAGAAACAGGAAGGGTAAAATAAAGGGACATTGGTTAAACAGCTATTGCATCTCTGATAGGTTTCTGGGCCTCTATTCCCATCTCCTCTGACCCTCAAACACTACGGCCACTCTCATTTGATTGGCAAGAAAACTCATCCTCAAATTAGTCTCGTGAGTTTCCAACCCAGCCTACTGGGTGCCGAGGTACATGTTTGTAATCCCAGCCACTTGGGAATCTGAGATTAAGAGAGCAGTGATCTGAGGCCAGACTGGGCAAAAAGTTCCCAGGGACAGATCTCAGCCAATGAGATCTAGTACAGCAGAGTAGGACTCAGGAAGTATAAAAGACTTTCCTCTTCCCATCTGACCGTCCATTTTCTCCTCAAGCATGGCTGAAACTAAGTATTTGGGCTCACAGAGCTGGGTGTGAATCCAGGGGGGGCCTGAGTCTATCCCACACATCTAAGGACATGCTTCTAGATACCCTCCACTGTGGGCCTGCCAGACAGCTGTGGAAAGGTAGGGTTTAAAAGTTGAATTGTAAAATCCAAAGGCCAGAACCTTCCGCATCAATTCTCCTCTTTGTCATCTTTCTGGTTCCTTCCAAAGGAAGCCCCTTTTGGGGAGAAGTGGGAGTGGGGAGGGGGGGAGGCGGGGGTCATCATAGCTGGGACCACCCTCCTTCCTGTGTGGCCCTTTTGGGAACCACAAGGCCCAGTCCAGCCGCACAGGCCCAGCCCCTGAGCAAGGCCGGAGGAGACCCCAGCCCAGCACGGGCACAGGTGGCAGGAGGGGCGGCGGCAGCACTGCAGGGCGTGGAGGCCCTATCATATCCCGGGGTCATCCATCCGCCACTGTCACTTCAGCAGCGGGCACCCTACCCCTACAACAAGATTCACACCCACCCCCAAAAAGCAGAGTTCTCCTCACGCGAGTTCCTCCTCCTCCTCCTCTGCCTGCAGCCGGCTGGGGGGGGGGGGGGCTCTGACCAGCTAGGACCTGGGGGGTGAGGGGGTCTGTGACCGGCTAGGATGTGGCGGGGGGGGCTGTGACCGGCTAGGACGTGGCGGGGGGGAGGGGGTCTGTGACCCGCGGGGGGAGGGGGTCTGTGACCCGCTAGGACGTGGCGGGGGGGAGGGGGTCTGTGACCAGCTAGGACGTGGGGGGGGAGGGGGTTTGTGATGGCTAGGACGTGGCGGGGGGGAGGGGGGCTGTGACCCGCTAGGACATGGCAGGGGGGGAGGGGGTCTGTGACCCGCTAGGACATGGCGGGGGGAGGGGTCTGTGACCCGTGGGGGGAGGGGGTCTGTGACCCGCTAGGACATGGCGGGGGGAGGGGGTCTGTGACCCGTGGGGGGAGGGGGGCTGTGACCCGCTAGGACGCAGGGGGAGGGGGTCTGTGACCCGCTAGGACGTGGCGGGGGGAGGGGGTCTGTGACCCGTGGCGGGAGGGGGTCTGTGACCTGCTGGGACGTGGCGGGGGGGAGGGGGTCTGTGACCCGTGGCGGGAGGGGGTCTGTGACCCGCTGGGACGTGGTGGGGGGGAGGGGGTCTGTGACCCGTGGCGGGAGGGGGTCTGTGGCCCGCTAGGACGTGGCGGGGGGGAGGGGGTCTGTGGCCCGCTAGGACGTGGCGGGGGGGAGGGGGTCTGTGACCCGCGGGGGGAGGGGGTCTGTGGCCCGCTAGGACGTGGCGGGGGGGAGGGGGTCTGTGACCCGTGGCGGGAGGGGGTCTGTGGCCCGCTAGGACGTGGCGGGGGGGAGGGGGTCTGTGGCCCGCTAGGACGTGGCGGGGGGGAGGGGGTCTGTGACCCGTGGCGGGAGGGGGTCTGTGGCCCGCTAGGACGTGGCGGGGGGGAGGGGGTCTGTGGCCCGCTAGGACGTGGCGGGGGGGAGGGGGTCTGTGGCCCGCTAGGACGTGGCGGG